TTTTTTCTTTTTTCTTTTTTTCTTTTTTTTTTGCGGGGGGGGGGGGGGGGGGGGGGGGGCGCCAAGGCACGCTCGGCCCCCCTGGATCCGCGAGTAGGCTACACGCTTCGATCTAACCTCGTATATGCATATTGACTGGCTGTATACAAAGACTACTATCCCGCGACTACCTGGAGACTTGATATAACGATGTTAGTTCATCTGCTTTTGTGCAAACAAGGGTGGCGGCATTGCATTACACCTTGGACCTATTGCATATTGTACCGGGGACATACATTGTCAAAATGTGAAATAGTACAGAATTGCACACACTAATATCGGACTCAGTCGGGAACTATATAGTGGACGTGCTTCCATACTATACTCTATAGACTAAATGAGATATACGCTCATAGCGGACATTTTAGTCACTCGTTCATGATCCATCCATCTACTCATTCATTCATTCATTCCTTTACTCTGTCCTGCCATCCACACATCCATTCATTCATTCATCTATCAATCCAGCCACTCAATCATCCACACAAGTATATGCTTGTTCTAGTATTTTATTGGATGAAATAACTGTGTAATGCGATATATTTCCTATCATAAAATATATTTTAGTCTTATGGCTATACATTGTGAAATCATGAAAAATAAATTGTGTTGTATTCAAGTTCGTTTATCAAATGGAAAAAAAAATGATTTGTTTTAATTTTGTTTCAGTTTATATAAACTTTACACTAGGACTATGGAAAATGCTTTGCTTCTGTCAAATGTTCGAAAAGGAATTGGAGTTTTGAGAGGTTTCTATGAATAAAAAAAATCATGCATCCACACATCAGACCTAAACTAGATGGAATTTTGACTGCGCGCAGTCGAAAATGATGCCTCCGCCATAGAGCAATTTAAACAAGTTTGGAGTTTAAATCTCCAGTGGTTCTTGAGATATCATGATAACAATCTCAATGTATGGAATTTCATAAGTTGACCTCTGTGACCCTTGACCTTTGACCTACGTGCTCCAAAATCTAATCAGATTGTCTTCCTATGGTGATACACACTATCATTAAGTTTGAAGTTTAAATCTCCAGTGGTTCTTGAGATATTATGATATGGTGATACATACTATTAAGTTTGAAGTGAAAATTCTCCAGTGGTTCTTGAGATATCGCGATAACGATCTCAATGTATGGAATTTCATAAGTTGACCTCTGTGACCCTTGACCTTTGACCTACGTGCTCCAAAATCTAATCAGATCGTCTTCCTATGGTGATACATACTATCCTTAAGTTTGAAGTTTTTACATCTCCAGTGGTTCTTGAGATATCATGATAACAATCTCAATGTATGGAATTTCATAAGTTGACCTCTATGACCCTTGACCTTTGACCTACGTGCTCCAAAATGTAATCAGATTGTTTTCCTATAGTGATACACACTATCACTAAGTTTGAAGTTTAAATCTCCAGTGGTTCTTGAGATATCATGATAACAATCTCAATGTATGGAATTTCATAAGTTGACCTCTGTGACCCTTGACCTTTGACATACGTGCTCCAAAATCTAATCAGATCGTCTTCCTATGGTGATACATACTATCCTTAAGTTTGAAGTTTAAATCTCAAATGGTTCTTGAGATATCGCGCTAACAAACTCAATACAAGGAATTTCATAAGTTGACCTCTGTGACCTGTGACCTTTGACCTACGTACTCCAAAATCTAATCAGATCGTCTTCCTATGGTGATAAATACTATTCCCGAGTCTTAAGTTTAAATCTTAAATGGTTCTTGAGATATTGTGATAACGGTCAAACGGGATGACGGATCGACGTACGGACGGACAACCCGAAAACGTGATGCCTCCGGCACGCGACTTTGCGTTTTACACCCTGGCCTGGACATTTTCCCGGTAAATAGCAATGAAACTGCTTGAATGAGTCTAGTCTACGCTCCTCGATCGGGCGCGCCAGTTCCAAATCGAATCGTACATGCACAGACGTACGTCGATGCAGCATTTATACACACCGTACGCAGCTGCAATACTGAAGATTAAGGGAGAAGATATAGGATTTCAAGTTCAGAACAAATTTCAAGCTTCAATTGCCAAGATGCAGTTTACAAGTACATGTACTAGTATATTATAAAAAATGGTGAATAAATCACAATATCTCTGTGGAGTATCTAAATAATAATTATAATATTGGATGATCAATTTTCGCGAAATACGTGAAATATTGTTACTCGCTGAAGAAAAATATTTTCACGTATCATCCATTATTATGTGTATTCAGTTCGTTATCTCCAAAGTAAAGTGCGGTGCACGCCTCTGCGCAGGCGCGTAGCCAGAGTTTGATGTTTGGGGGGGCACATACATGTAATCGATCGAGGTCAAAAAAAAGGGGTCTACAAAATTTCAACCGATCCTGGAAATTTTAGGGGGGGCACGTGCCCCCCGTTGCCCCCCCCCGTGGCTACGCGCCTGCCTCTGCGCCCATGAATCCGCCTATGTTCAGATCTCTTTTTATCTACATGTGCATGTATTTTCAAATAAAAATTTCTTATAGTCATTTCTTGCATCTAAATCTTAACACACTGTCAAATTATCTGTTCAAATTTCTACTATTGTTTGCTTTCACTTTTACTACATATTTCTTCTTTATATAACTATTTATGCATACACATACTCCTGTATCTTTTGTATTACTTCTCTGACATTGAAGGATTAGATTACCTTCACGAAAAAAAAAGTATATGAATGTAAAGCAGTAAATAAAGTGCAAATGAATTCATGTAAAACTGGTGTTTAATTTCCTTTATATGTTATGACTTGTGTCTGTACATTACACTAGACAAAGTGATGAATGGAAAAAGAGAGAAAGAGAGGTCTTATAAACAAATATCATGAATTTAAAATGAGAAAGAGAGAAAGGGAGAGAGAGACAGAGGTCTTAGAAACAAATATGAATTCAAGAAGTGAGAAAGAGAGGGGGTCTTAGAAACAAATATCATGAATTGAGAGCTAGAGAGAGAGAGGTCTTAGAAACAAATATCAAGAAATGAGAAAGAGAGGGGGGGGGGGTCTTAGAAACAAATATGAAGAGAGAGAGAGAGAGAGAGGCCTTAGAAACAAATATGAAGAGGGGGTTAATGAGAGAGAAAGAAAGAGGGGTCTGAGAAATACATACGAGAGAGAGAGTGGGTCGAGAGAGAGAGGTCTTAGAAAACAAATATGAATAGAGATGGGGGGGGGGGGGGGGAGAAATGGGTCTTAGAAAACAAATATGAAGAGAGATGAGGGGGGGGGGGAGGTCTTAGAAAACAAATATGAAGGGAGAGGGGTCAAGAGAATTAGAGAAATTAGGTCTTAGAAACAAATGACATGAATTTAAAAAATGAAAGACGTGATCCCACAATAATAGAAAATGGTACGAGTGCAATATTTAAATCACAGTTTATGTATTACATTACCATTACACATATTATGTCGAGTGTAGTCTGTGTATGTGTCGATATGTGTACACGTGTGTTAGGGGGGGGGTCCGAATCAGCAAATGGTTTGAAAGTAGGCTACACGTCAAAAATTGAAACCCTGAAGAAGGCGGAATTAAACCACAAAAACCATAATATTATTTGGTTTCTCTCTTTCCTTACTTTGATTAATTCCTTCTCTAATTTCTCTCTTTCTTTCAAGTTAGTTTTTGTTTTCTCTCTCTGCTTATGACATTCTTTGTTTCCTCTCTGTTCTTTAATTATTTATTGTTTTTCTCTATTTCCTTCTGTTGTTATTCGTTGTTTTTCTCTCACTCGTACGTCTCGATACAAAAGTACATGTACCGCGTACCGTACCGCGACACTGGACATATAGGACGTACGTTGAGCATTGCAGAAGAGCTACGTGCGCGCGCAATATCTTGTCATGGATAGACTTTTCCCAGTCGGTTCCTTGAAATTTATTGGGAAAAGGTCCAGGCCAGGGTGTTAAAACGCAAAGTCGCCTCCGGCACCACCTTCGGTGGCGGAGGCATAAAAAAGAGTCACACAAAAGGAGAAACACACACACAGGGTCAAACCAGCGGAGTCAAGGGGGCGTACTCCGGGGGGGTGTTTCACAAAGATTCTAAGTCAAACTTAACTCTAAGTTGGACTTAAATATTATGGAGAGCCATTTGTAGCCTTAAAATAAAATATATTCAAAAGCGAAAATTCAAATATTTTAGACTTTTTATAAATTCCACATCAAGAACATGAAATCTCCCATGATAATAGGAAATATGAAAGATTTGAATCAACATTGTATGCCTTTTTAAACAACTTTTACAAAATATTTTCAAAGATGCTAATGGCTTGCCATAATTGTTAAGTCTTACTTAGAGATAAGTTCAACTTAGGATCTTTGTGAAACACCACCCAGGATTGTACTCGATCGCGCAAGGTGGGTTCAGATGAAATCAAATTGCATGACTATGGATGCCTCCAGCCCTCCCCCCCCCCCCCCTTCCGTTTTCTGCTTAGAGCTATATTCCACACACACAAACGTCCAAAGTAACTTCTCGTGTCACTCCATGTACCTTAAAAATAAAATAAATCAATTAGATACAACTAGATTCTTGACTCTCAATCTAGCAAAAGCACCACGGGCAGGTAGATCTACGTCAGATACCCGCCTCATTAACATAAGTCATAATATGTGTAAAGGATTCAGACGTTTATAGCTAGATAGCCGTCTACTATTAAAATTACGAATGATCAAATGCACTACACGCTACATTTTGTAGCAATACCATAACGCTTCTTTGAACCCTAGGCAGTTTGCACCAACTGTATGCAGAAAAGCAACGACTGTTTACTCAATTACTAAATCCATCTTCTTCTGAAGGAGCAATATGGCACCATTTACCGCTTGATTGCCAGGCCTTGGTTTTGGCATTCATGCTCCGACCTCTGATGCTACTAGCTGATGATCGTTAAGCGTTCGTGGATCGCATGCACATAAAAAACGAGCACGAAAGGCTACAAGCTGCAAGCTCAAGAGCAAGAGTAACTCGAATACTTACTATTGGCTTATGATTTCCAACTCCTGACAATGGCAAAATCTGAAGCAAGTGATGGAGAATGGGTCGAGGAGGTTGGTATGCTTGTCAAATTGTAACTCAATTACATGCAGCTGAATACGATACCGGGCCGTGAGATAGCAGCGACAAAATACCGAACGCAGAGAGCTAGTAGAGCGCAGCAGCAGAATAGGCTTTGCACCGTACAGGCAAACAGAAAAGGGGGAAAAGGGGACAGTGATTTCCAGTAAGTGGGACTGTTGATTGATGATAATATGAATCTGAGTAAGTGCATGCTGGGCCATGCATGGCACCTTGATTGTTGTGAAACTTATGCTGAGTTTCTTAATAGCAATAATGGTGGGTTGTTACATCTAGCTAGGCCTAGCCCTAGGGCACATGTCCGTCTATTTGATTTCCGAATTTCTGGTTAAGGCAGGGCTGTCAACTTTGGGAACTGCTAGTTTGAGGGAGATCATATGCAATTTTTGTTTTGGCTCAACAGGGAAAGGGGGGGGGGGGATGTTGAGGAAGAAAACAAAATAGAAGTGCTCACTACCCCTGCCCCCCCCCCCCCGAGTCCTATCAAACTTAATTAATTTCAATTTATTTTTATTTTTCCAGGAGCATCTTATGTTGGTGGAGTTGACTGGAGTGCTTGATTATCAGTACTTTGCCAAGTCGGACAAAGTTTGCAAGTTATTGGTAAGCACAACAATATCATCATGAATAATGATAGAATATATGGGGTCCAGACAACTCGCCACAAAGACAACCCGCCCCAAGACAACCCGCCACAATACCCTGGACATCCCGCCACAATACCCTGGACAACCCGCCACAATACCCTGGACAACTCGCCACAGCCTTTTCGGACAACTCGCCACACTTTTTCCCATCATGATTTCTAGATCTAAAATGAAATGAAATTGTCATTTTTCATGATTTTCGTGCTTTTATAAACACAGTCATTACAAAGAATAAAGAATAAAGTTGATTTCCCTAATTGTAACAATAATATATATTGAAATGAAATTGTCATTTTTCATGATTTTCGTGCTTTTATAAACAGTCATTAAAAAGAATAAAGTTGATTTCCCTTGTAACAATAATATACTTTTGATCTAGAGGTCTATAACAGCTGCATTTTTCTGTCCCAGAATTTTTTTATGGTAGGATACTGGAAGCACTGGCGTACTGATGGGGGGGGGGGGGGCCGGGGAGGTAATATTAGAATGTTAAGATACGCCAAAGATACATAGCAGCATATTCCTACCATTAAAAAGTTTCCTGAGACATGAACTTAAAAATCGTAGTCGTAACTCGTAGTCGTAGTACGCCTGGCTTGGGTTCGTCCAAAATAGATTCTTGTTGCAAGCGCAAGGAAAATCATCTTTATTCTTTAGAACAGCTCTCAAAATACTCACAATTTCCATGTTTCCTGTCATAACTGTGTTTATAAAAGCACGAAAATCATGAAAAATGACAATTTCATCTAAGATGAGGGATTTTAGATCTAGAAATCATGAGGGGAAAAAAGTGTGGCGAGTTGTCCGAAAAGGCTGTGGCGAGTTGTCCAGGGTATTGTGGCGGGTTGTCCAGGGTATTGTGGCGGGATGTCCAGGGTATTGTGGCGGGTTGTCTTGGGGCGGGTTGTCTTTGTGGCGAGTTGTCCGGGATTCGAATATATCTATCATTAGTTTTGTTTCCCCCCGCCAATTAAGGAGGGATGGGGAGGGGGGCACAAGTGACACCGGTAATTGACACCAAGTTAACTGTACCTTTTATCAAACATTGTACATTTGCACTGAAACTGAAGAAGAAGGCTCCGGATAAGGGGGACGATGAAGGAAGTGGTCCAGGTATCTTCTTTTCTTGTCCTTTTCTCAATTTTTCTCAGTTTCACCCCTTCCTGGGGGATGTGGGGGGAGGGAGGAGGGGCATGTGCCCCCTGTATTGATATGAATAAAAGTTCATATTAATGCAAACTGCTATTGACCCACGTACATCACTTCCCTATATGGTTTTGATAGTAAGGACCTGAGTGTTTGTTAAATGGAATGTATTACTTCATTAGTTAGGCAAGGATATTCTCTTCCTAATCTCATTTGTAATATTTATGTTTTATGCCCTAACGTAAACAAACAAAGAAACGAGTTATTAGACTCTTAACATCAAAAATATTTTGTGCTTACTGTGTCATGAATGATAATGATATTCTTTACCTTTGAGTGGAGCACTCAAAATGAGCTTTTAGAAAAAGATGAGGACAAAATAATACAGAGTCATGAAAATTAAAAAGAGATAGAGCTAGAAGAAGCATACAGGGATATAAGGATATCTTATTTACATTTATCTTGAGAAAATGAACCTTGAAACTCAGATGCATTTTTGTATTTGCTTACCTCATTCTAGGGAATTGGAACAGAGAATCCAGTCTTACAGATAGGAAATTATGTCTTCAAGGGAGAATATAAAAAGACTGTGGGTACAGCTGTCTTCTTTGAACAAGGTAAGCTATAGAGATGAGCCATGACTTTCGAGGGCTTTTTTGGGGGCATTTAGGGGGCTATTTCGCCCCAAGCCCCCATGTATTTTTTTCCCTGCACAGGGCTTTGTACTGGTAATTCATGAGGAAAAAAAAGAACAATGATTGACTGTCAAGATCTTTCAAGAATCAGTTAATGATGATTTCTGATGGTGTTGACATGTTCTAACTTTCAAATGATGAATTAAAAAATTTCCGATTGTACATAGATATCATGCTTCAGCATCAGTTGTGTACTTTGTGAAGTCCGTCTCTCGCAATAGTCAAATTCCTAACTTCAGTCCTGGCTCCAATAATGTAATGAATCCTAACCCTAAACCCAACCAAAAACTCAATGGCAAATAGAGCTACAACTGTTTATGTCTTTGATGAAATATAGCATTGAGCAAATTCTGCCAGAGCATATGTGAGATTACAATTTTACTTTCTGCAAATGTTGGCCTACTATAGTTTTAATTGTTATATGAAATTGAAAGTAAAGACTTGTTGGTGTGTCAAAATGACAAATGTAAACATAAATACAGGTACCGGTATTATTATTGTGAAGAAGATTGATGAGCAGTAATGAGGTATGCTGTGTGATTTTGCATATTTTGGTAAATACTTTTGGAAAAGGTCGTCGATTAAGCAGATCTTATAATGTTCCGGTACTGATTTTTTATTTTTAGAGAAAGATGATAGCAAAGACTGGAGTTACAAATGCTGTACAAATAAAATGCTGGAGATGAGAAGAGTCTTTCTGCAACCTAAAGAAAATGTGACGGGTAAGGCATTTGATTTTAGGATGTATTTCACTCTCTGTAATTTTTACCTCTCAAAGTATAATACCTGAAATTTGTACCAAGTTACAATTACAGGGTATGGATATATCATGGGTAGCATCATCAGTATTAATACTGTTCTCCTGGGGGCTTGCTATCATATTATTATCTTGGCTTTAGCCTAGCTTACATGAAGAGTCCCTCAACAGTTTATTCCTACCAGGTACCCGTCTCTTTCGCCTAAACAGTGGATATGTTGTGGTATAGTGGTTTATTCACCCAAGTCTCATTCCAAGGGTTGAGGGTTCAAATCCCAGCCCAGCTCTAATGTCCTTTGTGTTGATAACTGCATATAACAAATAGATTGAAGTTGAGCAAACCCTCTGTAAATGTTATCATTGTTTGCATACCATATAAAATCAAATCAAAAGCAACTTACTGAATAAGCATGTTAACTTGAATCCATTTATAGAACACTGTACTTGGATATGAAATGATATGAATAGAAATAAAACATTTCACAAATCATTATAAAATCGGAAACTAGGTAATTAACAAGTGTTAGGAAATTTGGCAAATAAAAGAAACTTTGTTGTTGTGTAATTTGTGTTTCAATTATTTGTTGGCATGATACTTCAGCAAATTTAGACTTTAGAATTTAAAGTTTTTGGTTGTACAGTACCTATTGTGTTCCATGTTTTTCTTATACCACATATCTGAGCATTTGTATAACATGATTGAAATGTATGGGAAATGTTGAAAGGGTCAGTTTTAAATCTGTAACTGTTTGTTCACTTTATCACCTCATCTTTCCCATATCCAGATGAACAAGAGACTGGTAGCCAAACCCCATCAATGGATGTAACAGAAGCAGAGGATGGTACCTGATAGGAAGCAATATATCTCTGAAATGCAACAACAGGATTACCAAATTCCACGTACCGGTAGATCGGTGTTAAGATCACATCCTCTCTTGGAGCGTTACGGACCATCGTTAATAGAGCGTTATGGATTGGCGTTATGGAGTGGCTACCCATCGGGTTCCAGATTCACTACAAAATAGTTCCTCTCTCCTTCAAATGCATCCATGGTCTGGCTCATCCCTACCCATCTGAACTCATAATCTATTAGGCAACCATCACCTTACTCCCTCCCCTCCTGTCAGTGCATCACACTGAACCATACGTCTCCTAAGACGCTTCCCACACTTGAGGACAGAGCTTTTGCTGCTGCTGCTGCTCCCAAACAGTGGAATAGCATTCCAAGATTTTTTTCGCAACTAGCAATCTCTCAAAACCTTCAAAAAAATATCACAAAACTCATCTCTTCTGTTAATAACATAAGTGTAAAGCCCATTTGAATTAGTACATTTGTATATGGAAAATATGAACAATAAAAATATTATCATTTTCGTTATTATCGTCAAAAAAATAGAATAAACTTGATACAAATAAGAACACTAATTTTAAGAGAAGGATGAGATTGAATATGATGAAATTCTTGCAAATGCCCACATGTATATGGGATAAGATTTGGAAGTCGGTCAGTTCGACATTTATTAAAGGTAAAGACCAGTATTGGAAATGCCCCAACTTCAAAAAATGAAATGGAAGCTCTCATTACCAATCATGTGAAATAATATGTTTTGACTAATACATGATGATAAAAAATTTGCCGGGAAACCGCCTACTAATTCATATATTTGGTAAATTTGTTTCTCTCATGGTCTGTGAGAGATATAGGGTAGTCCCATATACATCTTTCTGTGTATAGTGCTTGTAACTTTATGAAGAATGGGCCAAATTTCTTATCATTTTGATGATTCCAGAACCTTGCAGATGCTATATGCTGGATGATCAACCTTTTCTGATCGATTCCACAACGTTTCTTTCACAATGCAATCGCATGACAATTACTGGTCTTTACCTTTAATACATTGCTTTTTGAAGAACATGGAAAATAAATTGACACCTCAACTTATCTGTTATTGTTATTTGCTTTTGTTATAAATGTTTTGCATGTGACTGTGCTGCTTGATGTAAATGTTGCGCTGAAAGAAAAAGAGCCAACTCTTTAAATATTTTATTGATTTGCACTGAAGGTGTGAAATTCAGCAGACGAGTAAGGAGGTATTTGGTCATTTACTTTCCAATATTTTACGAAGAATAACAAGAACCCCCTCTCCCCCCTCAAAAAAACAGACTTAAAGGTGATACAAAGTTTATGCAATATTTCAACAGAATTGGATCATGAAATTTAAAAATTGCATTACCATTGTGAAACCTAGTGTAAGAATATTCAATACGGTAAGCAACTTTGAAAAAATTGGGCTCTAAAACGCCAAGGATTTTGAGAAATTAAAATATCAAATTTATTGGTGCTCCCGATAAATTTCAAATGGCGCCTACGGCCATACAATGGTAGCTGCGACCATGAAAATCTCGAAATATGCAGTTCTGTTATATAATTTCAAAATGGGTTTAAAAAATCGGTTGATTTTGTTGTTTTGAATCTAAAGTAATATCAATCTTGAGAGGGAGTTATACAACATAAAGAGTTTATTACCGTATTCACAATTTCATCACTTCAGACTCTACTTCAACCACGACAACGATCATTGAATATTGTAGGATCGCATATGCTTCCAAAGTTCCAATATGTTCATATGAACCAAATTCATGACCCCATACCCAAACTTTGTATTACCTTTAACATATGTATCGTGTCTTTCTGAAATCGTTTGTAATAAAAATTGCACATTCTAGAAATATAAATTGCTCCATGATATTATGTGTTATGTTTTTATTATTTTTGGTAATGAATGGGACAGAAAATGAGCAATTGGATTTACCATATTGAACATATGTATATGACATGGTTTCCTTGTTCCCAAGTTATTATGGGAATAATCATTATCATTATCATTATTTTATTAAAAGAAATAGCAATGAACATAGATCTGCTGAAGCTTTTTCATCCTGCACTCCGCGGTACAATTCAAGAATGAACAAAAAGCTTAAAGCACAGAAAATCTTGTTGATTTGTTTCTAATTTGCACTTTTACTCTTTATGAGCACAAGATGAAAAACTTTAGTATATAGGGCAATTCCAAGGTAACGGAAGGACACTAAGACAAGATTTTTGAACTTCAGGTTCATACTAAAAGAAATGTTTTATTAGTATGTATTAAACTATGGGGAACAAAATGTGTTTCAGTCAAGTGGAAAGCTTCATCAACTTCACAAAGTTTGGATAAACACTAATTAACTGGAAAAACCATGTCCATTGTTATGTCCTTCCGTTACCGAGATAATTAATATGCACATTCTTAAACTACTTAACTATAATGACAATTTTTTGGGGGAGAATTAAAGGCACTTATATAGGTATTATATCTGTACTGTTTCACATCTTATACTAATAAAACAGTTCTTTTAGTATGAACCTGAAGTTCAAAAATCTTGTCTGAGTGTCCTTCCGTTACCGTGGAATTGCCCTATATGTACCTTGGTTCAAAGCTATTCTTGGATTTCAAAGTACAACTGTATAAATCATGTCTTCCTACTAGAATTGCAAGTTGATGACATTTATTAAAAGGAAAAGTGTCTGAAAATAAAATTTCCCCAATGTTGAGATTATGGATTTGTGCATGAAATTGGTTAACATGGTGTTCCAGAGAAGACGAGTCCTTTCTGTCTATAAGATTGCAAAATATAGAACAACACAGTCACTTACAGTAAAATAAGTCCAACCATATATCTTCCGTTTTGATCCGAACAGGGCGTTAACTCATATACTTTTACACAGAGTTAACACCCATCTGGCTCTGAACAGACGATATGGTTATCATTGCAGTTTGTTAAATTTGTTTAAATAAACAATTACGATGAATAAGATCCACAAAACATTCCATTAAGATTCCTTTCTTCACATTTATTTACATGACACATTATGTACACATCATGAATATGACCAGTCTTAAATTATTCATGACACTTGTTACCAAAGAATGATGATACAATTGAATCAATGTACACGTAATACCCTTGCACAGAAAAACTTGAAAATAAGATGATTTAATCCAAATTGAACTATTCCATAGAGATATACTTTTTCAGTACCAAGCACCTCTGTAACATGGAACTACATGTACCTTACTGCAGTATGTGTAGTTTTTGTTAAAGAGTAATAACCATGATAAATCTGCTTTTATTTCATTAATTTCTAGAACACATGTACATCTATAGCAAATAATCACAATATACACTGTATACCGTACTTAGAAATGAGCATCATGATCAAGAAAATACAAATTGAAAGTTCTTTAAGCCTGCATTTGTGTTCTAGTGATTGGTGTGTAATAACCTCACATTTTCATGAATACAAGTACCTACACCCCAGTTTTAGGGTCTATATTTTGCAAACAGTTCTTCTTTGTATATAAGTAAATATCAAAATAGCAATGATTGTGAATTGTTTTTCTTATATTTATTTAGTAAATCATCAATATTATGTGACCATTAAAATAAAGTTCAAAACTAATTTAAACATTAAAGGGATAGTTGAGTTCTGTTGCAGAGGGCGCTAAACAAAACAATTTTTCTTGTGAGATAATGAAAAACTGAGTGTCAAATTTGAAAGAACATAATATTTTAATGACAAATTCATCTTTGTTTGATCAAAATCGGTTCAGAGACGGCTGAAATATCCATAAATATAACGATTTCGTACCACCACAAATATTAGATATTTTGAAAAATTTGAAAAAACCGTTGAAAAAACAAAATAACGGCTTTTACGTCGTATTTCAGCCAATGCCGCTGTATCTTTTTTGTTGGCATTTTCGTGTTGCTTATATTACGCCCAACCAGCCGGACCATGTATTGTTATTTTTAATTAAAAAATTAATTAACGGTCGCCGTGTTTTTTTGAAAGTGGAGCTGTATTGGTATGATCGTATTGGCTAAATTCACACATTTTGTGGTCTAAAATTAACCGTTCATAGAAATTTTAGGTTCTAAAAATTTCTAGACTGAAATGGCTTTCTGTTTCACTATTTTACAACTAGTTATTATGGCCTAAAAACTCTTTTATTTATAAGACATTTTTTTGGTTTCAAACTCTGCTAAGCAAATGCAACACAGCTGTAAGATGGTCCAATCAACCATCCCATTACCATGGAATCTCTTTAAAATGGTGTTGTACATGTATATCATCCACTAAAGATCACATATTTTGACTAGGAAATAAAACGCATGATCTGAAAGCAGTCCCAAAAGGGGGATGTGTTAATAGGTAGCATAGACTTGATGGGCAGTCCCACTTGCGGAAGATGCTTTGGAATTCTTGACCGTCACTGGTCCCGCTGTTTCTTCATCATTTCAACAGGCTCATGCTGTGAGTTCAAACTTCCCAAACTTTTGTGGATCGTAGAAGGATCCCTTCACAATCCTACCGCCAAAGAAACGGCCATTCAAATCCACCACAGCTAAAATGAAGAAGTGTTGGATATAGACAAAAGAAATTTGATTATTTAAGGCCTTCATAATTTTGGGGAACCCAAAAAATCAATGACATTGGAAATTATGACATAATACCCAGAATTCAAAATTTCAGTTGAAAAGAGTTTTATTTCTTATTAATGTGGTTTACTCAACAAACAGAATACAAAATGTATAAAGGATATATAAACTGAAATAAGTAATTCAGTTTTCCTTGGAACTATGAAATTTCATACATAGAATTTCAAATAAAAGACAAGTAAAATGTTTTTCATATCTGAATAAAGAACAGAATTGAACTCTATTTATTTGTTACTATAGTATAAACTGTGCACTCTTGGAAGCATTTTCAGCAAAACCTTGGGTTTCAGGACATAGATCTTCATATGCAGGGGAAACCCCATATAACAAAGACGAGGTGGAAAGATCTCCATATCTTATCCAGATATTCACAACAGGGTAATTGTAAAGGAAAACTTATCAAGGTATCAATATATTACTGTCAATAATGAGTACCATGCACCATGAAAACGACGGACAAAATATCCAGTTCCTCAGGTAGACAAAGGAACATCCCTTCACTGCTATTATGTAAAAAAGTGTAGAACGGGTGTCACATGCATATTCACCTGTTCTACACATTTTTACATAATAGCAGTGAAGGGATGTTCCTTTGTCTACCTGAGGAACTGTATATTTTGTCTGATTTCTTTGTCCGTCATATTCATAGTGATGAACACTCAATAGAAGAAAATTTGTTATTAAAGAAATTGATATAGTGTTACCTTTTACTGCTGCTTCCACCCGTGTGAATTCTACAAATATCCTTACAGCTTCAGTGGCAACTTTGAGGGGATCCTGGAGAAAAACAAAGTAACACAGTGTGAACAAGCACTTAGTCTACAGTGACATACAATATTTGAATTTTTAAAATCAAAAATCATTATTGACTGGTATCACAAACTCTTATCAATTCATTTAATTTATTTTTTCTACAACATTGTGTGTTAAAGTAAGTAAAGTAAAGTAATATTCAAGTCATGACAATTTTGGATTTGGAAGGAAAACTTAGAAATGTGTAGCTAATTGCTGCTTACATAAGCCCTGAAGAACGATATCAAATGTGAGGACGTGTTATGATTCAAAGTATTGCTGAATGCTCGGGTGAGAGTGATTTCAGTCAGTGGTTTCATTTACAAATCGTGCCCGCATAATTTCTTTAAAAATGGGATCATACTAATTTCACCAACTTCACTGCAATCTTTTAACATGCATAATGGAGATATCTCCCAAGGGTCTCTGGGTAGGTATCCAACACGAATGACTCTGGGGCCCGTTTCATAAAACTTTACCTGTAACAAATGCTAAATTTCTATGACAAATTTGCTCTCAGCCAATCACATTGCCATGATTTCAGTAGCTTATAACGGTAGCTTATAACTTGTTATTGATATCAAGTTTTATGAAACAGGACCCTGATCCTTCATCACACTTACTTCATAGATGAGGACCTTGACAACCTCTCCATACTTGGAACATTCCTCGGCTGTCTCTGGCTGTAGATCATCATCTACCTCACCGGGACCTACCATATTCTGTAGAAAGAAAACAGGAATGGTACAAAAGGCTATGGTTAAAGTCAAGTGAGCAAGAGATCAAATACTACATGTACTATTTTATGAATACTTTTCTGACTAGTAACAAAAAACCTACGTTTGTAATTAAATGAACCAGTGATCAAATACTATAAAATGTATTTGAAAATGTTAAATTCTACCTGATCCATGCTGCAAAGGTGATACAAGTTGGCATCTTGATTTATGTTTGCATAGCGGTTACTTAAAAAAATAAAATACATGAAATGAGATCACCACCTCACAGAGTCAAACAACATTCAGCAGAAATGACGGAAGGAATTTATACAAGGCCATCGGTACAACCCTAATTGTTAGGTTGAGCGAATTATCTACTGACTTTATGTTTTTGAATAATTTGAAGTGCTGTTAAGACCGATGTTCATTATTTGGAACAAACTTATATCGATAATGTGAATTCTACCTGATCCATGCTGCAAAGAGCGTGGGGGTTCTTTTGATATAGTACCATTAGGCCTAAAAAGAAAAGATTTTGGTTTTCCCTTTGCGAAATATCAGCCCAAAGAGGGAGGAAAAAAGGGACCGACCTACGTTCTGGCACCTAAAGGGCAAAACAACAAAAAAAAATTAAGGCCTTATAACAGGATGACCCAATCTATACGAGCTATGGGAGTGTCCATTTGCAAATGAGTATGACATGCTCTGAAGATAGGCTCAGATAAAAAAAAAAAGAGAGTATCAATTGGCAAGTGGAGTTGTGGAAGAATACTCTCTGCCCCTATTTCATGAACCTACCGTAAGAAGAAGGATCTTGGTAGGATTCCTGAGAACATCTGTGATGGGTGCTGGTCCTGTCTTTGGGGCTGCTGGTGGAAATGCAGGTGGTGGGAATGCTGGAGGAGGCATTGGCGGAGGTGGCATTACAACTTGCTCTAAAACAGGAGAAACATGATAGATAAGTTTATAATGTGACTTCTGAAAGGGTAACGGGGCAATCATACAATACATTTTTAGACCTATTACATTGACATATTCTTATAATTTAAATTTTATTAAGTTGGTAGTACCGGTAGAGCTTTAGAATAAATATAAGGTATAAATAACACATTTTAATAGTCCACCTGTATTTCAATTTCATGTATTTCAATTTTCTACTATTTCTGTCTATTCAGATATTCTGTCTATTCTGTCTATACAGCTGACATAAATGGAATGCATTAAGCTACCATGTCATAATATAAAGGTTACTTTTATATCAATTGCTATTCCAAAGATCAAATCTGGTGGACGTACCTTGTATTTCCTTGTCTTTATTGATGATCTTTCCTCCTCTCCTACTTGTCTTCTCCACCTGTAATGCTGTACTGATTCCCTGTTCTGACTTGCCTAACCCTGCTCCTTCCTTGAAGCCATACTTAGCCATGATTTTCATTGCCACTGAGTCAACACTGTATACAATAAAGGGGGAAAAATATTTATTAAAATTGCTAAAAAGAAAAGGTTGTATTTTTAAAGCATGAATACATAAACAATTTCATCTTTATTTAGGGGAACTGCAGGGAAAATGCCATTATCTCTTATCGAATTACCAACCCATCTCAAAATCTAAATATATCTTTATTAAAATCATATCAAAGTTGAATGAATTGATTTGATATAGCAAGTCGTTTTATGGTTCTAAAATGTTGATAGATGACTATATTTTTCTTTATGTGAGAAACAGGCAGAAAGCATGTAATTGAAAGTTACCCCAAGTTATCAATTTTCTATTACAAAAATGCCACGAGAAGATAAGGAAGGATGCATGACATCTTTTTTATTCATGCAATGAAACTTCAGATAAATATAAGTTTTAATCCTTACACAATTTTGTTATGAATTAGGCATAAATCCTGACAGATTTAGGCTTCTAGTCCTTGCAGATTGCACCCCCCCCCCACAAAAACAAAAAAAATGAGAAAAAAAATGACCACTTACCCCAGCCCTACTGGGACCTGAAAGTTTGCTTTCGGTGTCGGAGGCTTGACAAATGTATTCTGCTCTTGAGGCGGGGCAAATTCACTGATCCTAGGGGGTGTCTTAGCACCCTCAAGATCATCATGGTCGTGGTTCTTTCTCTTCATGTCTGCATAAGGCCTATCTCTTGCAGGGGGTAGAGGAGCTGCAACTGTATGAAATTAGTGTGAAATTATAACAATCGATGTAACATGTCATATATAACACTGCTAATGTTTATGGTAAAATTCCATGAGTCATGATTATTATTTTTTGAAATCAGCATACCTTTTTTCCTCACTAATGTTGACTTTTCTTTATAACTGATTTTTATATCGAAAGAAAACTCAAGAGAAAGTCAAAATGTTGAAGAGCTCCCTATATTTCATGCTATATATCCAGGGTAGATAATATTTAACAATATCCAAATTATTTAACACAAATGATGAGAGGGCCAGAGGATGATCTGCCCCAAATTTTTGTTAATTTCACAAGAACCAACCCGCATTTATTTTGCACCATTAAAGGGATCCAGTAACTTTGTCTTAGATCCTTCAGAAATAATCCTTGATTTAGCTCATGCTGCAATGATAATTATAAACCTTTAGGTCAGCCAGGAACTCCATGACTTTTACAAGCCAATCTGTCTGATTATCAAGATATCTATGACTGGAATTAGAAATTTCAGAATTCGTTTTTCTAACGGTTTTTATAACACTACAGCCTATTGGGGAAAACGAGTACGGTAAAACCTGTCACTCAAAGATTTTTACTTTTTCGAGGCACTTCATGATCATTTTGAAGCGCAATTTTTGTAAACTTCAATATTACACCATATCACAGACACTGATAACACATAGGGCCATGCATCTCAGATTTAACATCGTTAAACGATGACTTTAAGGTCCAAGTCTTTGTAAATTCATTTCTAGTATTAATCTAAGGATACTTACATCCATCATCTTTAGACTGGGAATCTTCATTGATCAGTGAGGAAGGAGGGGCAATAGCAGCTCGTTGTGCAGCTGTGGAAAGACAGATATACACAAGAGAGAAGAAATACATGTGTTATGTTCTTACTGAGAATATCAATGGATTTGTAGGAGCAAAGTTAACCAAGACATATGCTGCATTTGATCTTGATCCACAAATACATGTTTGAAATGAAAAATAATTCAAAAATAAATTATCTTTAAAATCTGAGTATAATGCTTCACTTAATGACTAAAAATCAATTCCAGGACTAACCTAAGATTTGCAGTACTACTTTTTAACAACATATATGAAGCTAACTTGTGTAGTCTCAAATGAGTCGATTTAAGTATCAAGGTGAAGAAATGAAAACCCAAATGTTTGTTGATTACATCAGAATTGTGGAAATAGGGCCTCGAATCATCCACAGGTTAAACAGCATTTTATGGTGATGCCCTACCCACAGACCGCAATGCCCCTCTCAATAAAGATCATTTCAGCCTTGCCCTTTTGTTGTATTGTTTTCTTCTTCTTTATCCCTCTCATTGAAATAGCCCCCGAAATGCCCAAAAGAGCCCCCGAAATGCCCAAAAGAGCCCCCGAAAAAGAAATATCAATTTTTCCATCTCATTGGACCAATGCAATCTGTCCCTTCTTCCGGTTCTCTTCTACCACAATGTTAATATGGACCAAGGAAAAACCAGTGCATTTATACATACTGTTTCTTCTCCTCTCTCTGTCCCTGTCATCCTCATCATCCTCCATGACTGGACGTCTGGAAAATCCTTGTGGTTCCCTTTCTCGATCTCTTTCTCGATCGCGGTCACGATCACGGCGTTCCCTATCGCGGTCACGGTCCTTTTCTCGGTCTCGTTCACGATCTTTTTCACGACGTCTCCTCCTGGAGAATTTTTGATTTGTTCAAATATTGTTATTTATGATAAACACTTTTATAGTGACAACATAATATAAATTAATTTGAATATTTAGCAATTATGAAAGACTGAAAAACTGATGGAAACTAGTTTATTATCAAAGATAAAATATGTGGAAGACTTCTACATTGTAAGTTAGATATATATTAAAAAGTAAAACAATATTCTTCCTATATTACATCTTGTTCTAGACATGAAGTAAAAAACCAATAGTCAATGAAAAATAATCATGAGAAATTAATCAATGGCAAATCAAGAAATTCATGCAATAATATATCAGGTCATGCAACATGTGAAAATATGCATTTTCAAGTTTAAGTTATTCAATTTAAAATCTACATTTAAAATTTGTAAATTTCATTATGATTCACAAGCTTAAAATCTGAACTAATTCCCCTAATGCATAGTGTTATCAAACCCCATTGCCGAAGACCTTAAATAAAATTGTGGATTGACTGTAAATAACACATCATCGCGCTCCTAGTGATCACACCTTGGACTTACCTTTCTTCTCGTTCTCTTTTATCTTGCTCATCCCTCTCCCTTTCCCTCTTCTCTCGTAATTTCTTTGCAACCTTCTCATATTCATTTGGATAAGCTGGATCATACTCATTTTCACCATCTGAACCAAGGCTACTTGATGGCAAATAAGGAGCCTAAATACACACAAACAGAAGAAAAAGGGGGGGGGGGAATAAAAAATTACATAAGTTGTCAAACCGGATTTCTTTTTGCAGGTCTACATCTTGTGATATTGTTGAACTGAATAACATATAAAGTTTATTTACAATGTCAGAACAGAATGTGAAATAAAGATCATTACATCATTTACTACAACTACTATGATGTTTTAATTGTTTGAATGGTGTTGGGAGTATGGGACATGCAGAAGCTAATCACTGGGATTAAACCTGTTTGCTTTGCATCCAGATCAAATATTATACAAATAATGAATGGTTATGAGTTCAATAGTGCGAATATTTTCATGAGTTGAAAGATTAACATTCTATTCAACGAGGCGTCAGCCGACTTGTATAGAATTAACGTTAATCTTTCAACGAATGAAAATATTTGCACCATTGAACGAATGAAAAACATTCATTATTTGTTTTATACAACATCGAAGAAGATCTAATAGAACGTTAATCAACAAATTATGCTTTACTCCTTATATTAAAGATAAATTAAAGTTGGAGTCAAGCCTTCTCGATTACATTCAGATTGCCTTCCCGTCAGATACACGCAGGGATACGCGCGCGCACGGCAGAGAGGTACGCAGTCTGCATATAACCAAAAATGCACGACCGTGCAATATAACATATATTGAATATCATGTGACCAACAATCCTCCAATCAATAACAAGGATCCACGTAGGTGTTGTATAAATTCTATTATTTCTATCTATAAGAGTTTGTCATGACTCTAAGGGAAGGCAACTTTATTATCACTCGCGTTCGTCCGGGTTCAGGACGATCGCGTCCCCTCCTTTGTTAGCAGAACGCGACTGTCCTTAACGCGTAAGGTATGGTGGATTAAAACCTTCTCCATTCATCGCGTACCCTCCTTTGTTTAGAGAACGCGAGCGTCCCAAACGGGTCCCCAATGAAAGGGGCAAGAATGGGGGGGATTATCTTACATAATATTACATAATTCTTGAGAGGAATAGGGTTTCTATTTGTCGCGCTAAGAGGGGCAAGAACTCGTTTAATCACCTTGCCAGTAAAATTCCTTCCTTCCAGCGATCGGAAGGCTTTCCCCATTTTAAATGAAATGTAAATGAAATGAAAACTGTGTGAATCGCAATCAATGCAGAGGTCCGTTGTTTGAGGTTGAGAGAGAGAGAGGGAGAGAGAGGTAGAGGGACGTAGACATGCATGTTTTGTTCTTTGAAATATTTACTCTACGAGACTGTTATGTATTTTTTTATATGTCATCTATTTTGGAGGTTTGGTCTTATGAAAACTGATTTTGAATGAGTGATACAAGGCCGCGGCCGCCTTGTAGTTGTAGCGACCAGCAGCGCTAGAACAATTTATAATTTGCATACCCTGTGCCGCCCATTGAACCCTGGGAAGGGTAATAGACATTCTGACATTTCTATCGATCTTTTCGTGGGTACAATGAATAGGCACAAATGAAGTACTAGAAAGTTGGATTGATAACCGTATCTTGGAAATGTTGTAATCAACACCCAAGTTCAGACAGACCGCGATATTTACGATTGTCAGCCTACGCCTTTGTTCTGAGAGCGCCGACTTGTGGCGGGAATGTCATAATAAATCTGTCATTATTTGTATGTCGTTGTTGCGACTGGACAATGGTGAGGAGAATTTTTTTTATGATAACAAAAACGGATCCAACAATACCCCTTTTTAATTCGGGTAATACACCTTGAAACTCTCTCTCTCTCTCGATAGTAGTAAATCCATCTGTATCTCAAATCAACACAATTTCCTTTCTTATCTGTTATCTTTCTCTCCAGGCCCTCTCTACGCCCCCCTTTTTTTTGTTAGCCCTCTTACTCTCTCTCTCTCTCTCATCCAGTCACCTTTCTAATCTCTCTCTACCACTATCTCTCTACCACGTACTATCTCTCTTTCTTTAATCAACACTTTCTTTAGCTAGTGCGTCCCATGAGAAAACGAAACGGAGAATTATCGATGTTTTATGATAACTTGATCAAAATTATAATGAATAAATGACACATATTTGTACAGGAATAACAAAGTTCCATTTGTTTAAAGTAATGCTTGCATTTCCATTATTTCCATAACTCTGTTTGTTGCTACGGCAGGCAGCCAGTGAAAACGAATTCGTTTAATCAAATTATGGAAGTGCTAGCATTACTTTAAACAAACAGAAATTTGTTATTCCTGGCTCATTTTTTCTGATTGAGCCGAGGTTTAATTTATGAAAGGGCAGAAAGTGAATTTTCTAGAAATTCAGATACCGTTCGCCAAATGACTTTTTGATACCCTGTGGTGGTGGTTATTTTACCTGACTGCTAAGAAAGCATAAATGCTTGTTAGAAAGCAACCAGACGTCCGACGGCTTTAGGTTCTCTCCGAGGGACCTGGTAATGAGGATTAATGCCTTACCAAAGGACCCTGCATGTCTTCAAATTGTTTTTTAATCGCTCATTCGTGAAATATGCATAAGAGTTGCATCACTGAAGAGGATCTAAGCTTTACCAATATGTGTCATTTATTAATTATAACTATGATTAAGTTATGATAAAACATCGACAATTCTCGGCTTCGTGTTTTCTGAGGCGCACTGTATAGGTCGATTGCTTATCTGAAATGAGGCGAGTCATGTCAATCAACACCAAAGTTCCAAAACATCGCGTATATTAAACATCGTTACGCGCCTTCGTAATGCACACCCTCCCCAATTTAAATGCAATTCCGAGAAAAAAATATATGATAAAATTAAGTTTGTATTTTAATAATTGAAGAAAAAAAGAAGAAAAAAAAAAATTTTAAAGAGGTGGAATTACAAAATTAGAGGGGGCAGATAAAGTAGGTGAAGAAAAAAAAAAATAAGTTTCAAGATAAAGAAATTGGGAGATGTATTGAAGAATGAATTCGCAGTTTTGAACACAATTCAAATTTCTAATTTCAATGAAAGTCTGAAAAAACGATATAATAACGTTATCATATTAATCATTGAAAACAAAATCTAAGAGATGGAATTGCAAAATTAGATGAAGTAAGTGATGAACAGGGGCGTACGCAGGATTTTTCGCGGGGGGGGGGGGGGGGGTTAAATTGCGCCGGAAAGTTAGCAATGACAGGCGGGGGGGGGGGGGTAAGAGCACATTTTTCTTTTTGTGTCCAGGATTTGATGTTTTTTTGGTCACCCATAAGCACACACAAAAAACAAATGAGGGGGGGGGGGGGGTTCCCCCCTCCCCTCACTGCCTACGCGCCTGGTGATGAAGATATAAATAAAGAAATATTAGAGTTCAAGAAGAAAGAAAGGATCGGGAGACGGAAAGATGGAAGCCGCAGGTAAAAAGGGCGACTAAATATATACGAAAATGCATTGAAAAGGGAAAAGTAAAACCAACAGGAAGGCAAAGATAGATCCACAACTTCACTTCACTCATTCTGGACATTTCATCACTATCTGTTATTTATTTGAGAAACCAACTACAACTACCAACTACGAGTGAGCCATCACTCATCACGTGGCCTTGGTCGATGATACATAATGCGGACATAATCCAATCTTATCAAAATGCTAATGTCTCCCCCTTGTTCAGCTCCGATCCCTTCTTGGCGGCCAAGCCCTTTCATGTTTGCGCGCTCTCCATCAGACATTCCCCTCTCTTTCTCTCTCTCTCTATTGCGCTGTCTGTTTCTTGAAGTTATCCCCCCCCCCCCCCCGAAAAGATAAGCGTGGGAAAACCTCTCTCACGCTCTCTTCTCTGTCACATTCACTTGAGGTCATTCACTCGGCCCATAAATGGCTTTGTTTTTGTTTACATTAGCTCAGAGGCGGCTTCATAAGTCATGAATGAACTGACTAGTATGTCTGGTTACTAAGCAACTATGCAGTCAATCAAAATTTTCAAATTCATTTGTGGCTGCATTTTCATATCGGGCAATAAAAAAAAACTCAAAATTATGATATTTAACAATCATTTTTAACATAAGTATGAAATAGTGAGATCCTACTCAAACCCGTGAATTTCTCATTTTTAAAGAACAATTTCCAGCAAATTACAAATATGAACTGGCCATGTTAATGACGCGGGCGTACAAACACGTCGACAGCTCTTCAGACTTTCTATCAATTGCTTTGGTGTCTCGAAGTCGACGGGTGTATATGTCATTTTGAGACAGAGAATTTATTTTACTCCAATACAAAGTAAAAGACGAAGAAATTTGAGTACTGCAATTTTTGTGAAAATAAGAAAATGCAATATTGTTTTTAATATAAGGAAAATAATTACAGCTTTAAATACATGACTTGGTCTAGCTCGATAAAAATCCAAACAACTATGATCATATACATTTTTTTTTCCTCGTAACATTGGATAACAAATTTCACAAATTCCAACATACTATAAATATTGATTATTTAGTGCAAGGGTAAATATGACAATGACTCGGAACATAATACAGGGATAACAATTAATCAAATTACTCTTAATACTTGTAAACGTTTTTTTTTTAATTATTTTTTATAATTTTTTTTTCTTCAGGGGGGCGGGGTCAAATTTTCCCTCGTGTCGCGCCACGCCTTTTTAATTTCTTGGCGAGAGGCCTGATTATGCATAGAATAAAAAAAATCAACAAAAGGGAAAAGTAAAACAACAGGGGGGCAAAGTTACATATCTACATCTTCACTTGTAAGGTAGACTACATGCATGCAATGTAAATCCTTATTTTTATTTCTATATTTATTTTGTAAAAACACTGAATTTTCTGCTGTGACTTTAGATAAAACTCAGACTTCACAGAGCTGCCAAGCAGAACGTTTTTAACGTATTTATACGTGTTTTTTTAAGGGAAAATACGTATTTGTTTTGCTGTGCTAAAATTGTAAGTTCTGAGTATGGCTATGCGAACGTGGCTACAGGTTGGCTGTGAGAACGAGCGTATAGTATGCATACACACAACACAGGGGATGTACACCACTCAAAGACGTGCACATTACCCCAGGCCATGCATACACACATGCATCCGATCGTGATATCAAACCAGCATCCACAACAGACGCAAATTACATATCAGTGCACTGCACTACACACAGCGTCACTCACTAGTACAAGGAAATCCCGATGTCACTTCCAAAAATCCACCCCAAAAGCCAAATTTTGCTGTCACAAGTGCGGAATCGGAGCCATATTTCCAAAGTACGCGGTGGCTTAGCCAAGTTTTAAAAAACGGCTTCGCCAAAAAAAGCGCTTAAAATAAAAAAATCAGAGATTTTGTAACGAGTTTTTTCGCTTATCGCAAGCGCCCTTCGAGGCAGGCCTGCTTCGAGGGCCTTCGAGTGTGGTGGTATCTTTACCAGCGCTGTAGGGTTTAGATCACGTGACCGCTATCCACATGTTGTGATTTGCGCGAATTGCTGATACACGCAATGCAGTACTGATTAATAGGTTGGGGGAATACAGACACTACTAAATATGATTTATATATTTGCAGTGTCGCACAAGAAGCTTTTATTCATATGCGGCTGTATGTAGAAAGACTTGAGGCGTTGCTGGTTAGGTTTATTATTTTAGCGCGCGACACATTTTTTAGACAAATTATTATCAATCAACACGGGGTGATTGCAGCTCTAGCTCTGCTTTCAAGACTGAAAATTCATCTATGAAAATTTACTATCTTGTATTTTAAACACGAGCTAGACGGGTGCAACTTTATTGTCAGGGAACACCAGATTAACGCGTTCTAGACGGGTCAGCTATTGTCAGGGGACGCCAGATTAGTAAGGATTAGAGAGGGGCTGGATAGCGGTGAGGTTGATTGACAGCGGTCCTAGCGGACGGGATGGCTTCTTTTCTGGCTGCCTGCTCTATTGTCCAACAGACAACAATAGACGCGAGCAAGGGACGCCAAGGGACCGCCAGCGTACAATACGCGTCCGGGAACGGGGGATTAAGAGATAAGTAGGCGTCCCGAACCCGGACGAACGCGAGTGATAATAAAGTTGCCTTCCCTAATAGATAGTACATACAGAATTCATGTACTTATTTATGATTTCTGCGCCAAAATGGACTTGATAACACAGCACTGCTTGGAGATGCTATTGTCAAGGGCTTACCAATCTTGGTGAAGATGAAGATGATGGTCTTGACGGTGGTGGTAGATTTGATGGTCTGAACCTGGGATGATCATCCAATAGTCCAGAACTTCCACCAACATCTCTTCCACCGATATCCCTTCCACCAACATCCCTTTCTCCTACATCCCTTCCACCGATATCCCTTCCTCCTACATCCCTTCCGCTTACATCCCCACTTGACCTGGAACTACTTGCTGGTGCAGTACTAGAACCAAGACCAGGTGCTGGTACTTTCTTGGGGTCAAGGACTGGACGGCCGGATGGCTGTTTCATCTTGCGCTGGGCTTCAGTTAGAGCAGCTTTCTTCATGCGAAGATGCGACTGCATCATCTTGATACCCGCTGACCATCCAGCTGAGAAGGAAAAAATGGCAGGGTAATACAAGAGTTTAGAAAAAAGTATCATACAAAGTCTCTGAAAATGGCAAATCGATGGCCTGATTAATCTAAATGATCGACCAAAAATATAAAGGATTAAACAAAAACTTACATAACCAGTAGCTTAAGTTTCATTCCAATTATATATAATTTGAAACGTAGGACCTGTAGAGTATTGGACTCTATTTTTGGTAGATATTTGTATAACTACACTTGCAATGAAAGACTAGGCCTAAATGATGATCTAAAATTTAATCAAAACAAAATTAAAACAAAATTGTGTGGAAATTTGTGTTTGTATTCAAATAAATGGGGCTTGTTTTGAATGCAACTGGACAATTACTTAGACTGCATATAAACACCCTGAAAAGTCGTTGGAGATTGAAAGCAGTTCAATTTGAAGGTCAAAGATTTTATAACACATGCTCTAGCAAAAACTATTCTGCTATCATTTGTAACACTATAAAAATTTCTAACTTCAACCGTAGCCAAAACATAATACATAAATCCAATGGCAACCCAAGCCCTGATTCCACATCTCTGATGAAGGCCTAAAGCAATTGTCACCGAAGTAAATGTCGGATTACCACAATACATTTTTTGACTTACACACATCGCCCTTTTTGTCACCAGCAGAGCTGTCCTTCTTTGATGGTCCTGTATCCACTCCCAATCCATCATAGAGCGACATTGTATACGAACAGATCTGCAGACTTCCTCATCAATCTATTGAAAATATATAAAAAACAAGGCAAATATATAAAAAACAAGGCAAATATTTCCTTTACCATGCCAGTAGCGTTTCCGCCACCAAGCCTCTGCATCATCATCGCGCGAGCCCCTTTTCTCGTTCATCACCAGTCATCATCTTCATTGGACTTTCAACATCTGATCGTAACATGTAATGTGCGTGAAACCTACACATTTTTACATACCTTGATGTGGCGGAATGTCAATATCTGTAAATATATGTGGTTGCGTACACCAGTGGTTAGAAAAGTTTAATATAGATATGAATGGTAAATAACAGAAGAGAAATCGTGGCTGTCTTACCTTGGTGGTCGCCGAAAAAGCCTAATGTCTAATCACATGACTTAGTCATTTTGTCCAATGAAAAGACAGACTTTATTAATTAAATTACACTTCAGCGTAATTCATAATTAAATTTCCTAATAAATCAATTTTAATTTATTTCTCACATTTGAATAGTTGCACTTTTCATAAGTATTAAAAGTGTACTACAAAATACAAATTGTTCGAGGACATGAAGAGCAGACAGCATACCCATACGTTTAGCGCGCGTACATTACTCCTAAAACAGGCAGATCAGAGTGAGCCCATGCCCCGAAGCTTCGGCTGGATTATCGTTGTCGAACCGCGTACGTGTCAGTAAACACGTGCCCTTCACTGGTGGTATCTAGCTCTCCCGGGCTCTCCCCAACTTGTAATTCAGGATAACCAAGAGAAAAGAACTTAAAGAAGTCGACTATCAACCTTCTTGACATTATGGACAGCAGCGCAGACATTTATCTAGATGTCATGTTGTGAGTATCAAGTAATATGAGTAGTCTACCATGTCTTAGATTTAGAAGTAGAGTTGGACATCATCCACGACATCCACACATAGCTGCATTATCCTGGCTGTCATATTGATTCTCAACTTTCAAAACACCACTGTAGAAAACTCAACTGATTTCACTCAAATCGGTACTTTAGTGACAATTGATGACACCTAAATAGCAGTAAAATACAATTTTTGTCAACTTACTGATGTTAAAAAGAATATTTTAAAAATTCAAAATTTCAAATTGTAAGTCTAGAGTCTACTCTACTGTCAAGCAACATCGTCTTCATTGTTTGCATTTAATGTGCAATACATAGGTCTAACTTAAAGTGTCGACTATCAAATGCTTTGCTAGAGTGGTGACATCCAGTGGCGGATCCAGGGGGGGGGGGGCCTCTCAAGTTCAAGATATCAATTAAGCTATAAAACAATGTTTCTAGACAAAAATTGACCGATTAGCTATTCCCGTTTGGAAATTATATTACGGTATATCACAACAACATCTTCTTAGATTTTCATGGTCGCAGCTACCATTGTACGGCCGTAGGCACTATTTGAAATTTATCAAAATTTACCGGGAGCACCCGTAAATTTTTATATTCAATTTTTCTTGAAAGCAGAAGTGTTTTAGGACCTAAATTTTCTAGTGCTTATAATGCATCCACGGCCACAGGGGCATCCAATTATCAAAATTGTAAAGAATCACTAGCATATCCACCCAATTTTCAACATTTCCCAAAACTTCATATTACCTTAAATTACATTTAGACCAATTTACCAAGTTGTTGATGTTGTAATTTTGTTTTATTCATATTTTGTGACAGAGAGTTTGAAAGCTCTGCACCACATGTGGAAGAGACAATGTTTGAGGGGATTGTAACTTTGGCCTTGAAGCAACTGCATGGTGATGTTGGGGCAGCAATGGCGGTAGATCTTGTGATGTACAATCCTGGGAATTTGCAGGGAGTTCTTAGAGTTCAACAGAGGTGGGTATTTATATTTGTTCACCAGATCATGTCTTAGACTTTATGGGATATTTTAATGAATTTATGATGGGATATTTTAATGAAATTATGATGGGATTGATTTTTCACAAATTCACATACTCTGTTTCATATAAAAAAATATATATATACACAAAAATAGCTGAAAATTAAGAATCTTGAATGGTTACTTCAACAGTTTATCATATATTTTCTCTTTACCTCCATTATATACGATTATTTTAATTACTGGTACCAATTTAAAATTGTTTACTAGTCAATTGTCTTTGAATGCCAAATGCACAATTTGAAACATATTTCAAAAATATGACAAATAATGTACAGTGTACATGTACATGTTTGCAAATTACACTATGCCATGTAATAATTGAAGGAAAATTGACTGAATTCCAAATAATTTTTTGATCCAACTAATTAGAAATATGTGATGACCTTTGATATATTGCATTAATTGCATTCAGTGTACGTTCAAAGTTATATAATTCATTATAAAATGACTGAATTAGTATATGATGCCTATATGCTCTATATTTCTTATCATTTAGCGATTTGGTGAAACTGTGGAGTGCATTGACACTGTATGGATATTATGAAAGCCAGAGATGTGCTTTCACTGTGCGAAAGGTGAGCTTTATATTACCCATTTAACCTTACTATGTACACTCTGCAATGTAACATCAGTCTATGGAAGTGATAGTGATACATCACAGCCAATTCTTCCTTTCATGATGGGACATTCATGTACGGATGGAAAACTTGAATACAAAAATGCATTCATCACCTTCTTGTTCTTAAAATAATATAGCAAAAGATCACTATAGATGTAAATATCATAAGTGGCATGTGTAAGCACCGCGTGTGAGTTGTGCAAGGGAGATATCTAGCCATTCTTGTGAGTAATAAATAGTAATGTTTTAGAGACCCTTTGTGAACTTATTGAAATTGATTTTGAAGTTTTCAACAATTTTTTTGTTCATGTTCACATTCCACAGGAGTCTTCTGATTTCATCCCACCGAAAGAATTCAGAAAACTAGAGGAAGCAGAGCTCAGCGGATGTGGATGAATGGAATTATAAAATCGAGATGTATGTTTGAGAAATTGGTTTCAGACATGACATGGACCTGCAACAAAAATATGCCATGGACAATGGAGATCTACTCATTCATGGCGTTGCAATGTCCTTTAACGCACCTGGATTAATCAGGATTGTGTTAGGGTGTAGCCAAGGCAAGTCCAAGCTATTTTGTCCCATATGTAACTGACCAGTGACCACATCTCAGATTTTTGTGTGTCTGATCGTTGTATTAAAGGGACTTTGTAACATCGTTTAGATGAGAGAAAATGGTGCTAAGGTAGTGACTATAATGCTAGATGTACAATTAAAGATAATCTGAAAGTTTGAGTGAAAGCAGACCATTCATTATTAATGATGAAAATTGGGAAAAAATAATCTGATCGATTCCTTAATTCTCCCAACTATATTATTACAATTTAATTACATTTTAGGTGAATTTAAATTGTCACAAAGCAATGAAGTGGCTCTATATACATGTACCATTCCAGATATGGAAGTGTTGACACTTGACAGATTTATAAAAGCCTGTCTTACGGTATGTCTTATTTTCATGGGAAAATGGTTGGGAGAGTTTACTGTTTGAGGGTGTTACACAGTGATGCCTTTGTGGTTTGAGAAATTTTTCAGGATTTTTTGCATGTTAGAGGTTAAGTACAGTAGTAGCATTTCATACCAAAATTACATTTTTTTCATCAACCTTCAACAATGTTGCCGAGTCACTTTAAGAGCCCTTCTAGTAATCAGATCGGACGAAATATGGAGAGCAACGACACGTTCGTTGTTGATCTAAGTTTGGAACGCTGAATGAATTAAGTACCTTGACTTGCCCATGAATATCAAGCTTACTGTGTTCTCTAAGCAGGTTATAATGCCACTATTCTAAACATTTAGAATCAATTTTTAACTGAGAATCATGTGCATTGATTTCAACATTATGATGTGGGGTAACCCATTATTCTGCCTAATGTCAAATACATGAAGTCACAGAACAAGAAAGGGTTTTGTGTTTTAGACTCGAACTGAACAGAGTTCTATACCAGTACATGCATTTGTGTCTGTGTATTAATAATCAAGTGTATTGTGTGTATACCATGCCTGATATTTTCTCATTTCTCATCTTAATTAAAGCCCCTCTAAAGAAAGTGTTGGGAGCCCCAAAATTTGATGGCTAAATTTTATAATGTGACGGTGAGAGAGGATGTCATTTAAGACATATTTCTGCAAGATTTTCAAAACAAATGTGTTAAGTCGAATATTGATTAAAGTATACTAAATGTAGGTGTTCTGTGTACAACAGAAAACTCAAATTATGTATTCTTTTATCAATATTCATCTTCAACACATTTTTTATTGGGGGGGGGGGAATCTTTTCAGAAGTGTTATAAATGACATCCTTTTTCAAATTATGATACAATTTTAGTGAAATTTTGCCATCAATTTTTTTGCGAATTTGGGGCTCCCAACACTTTAGAAGTGCTTTAATATATATTACTGAGCAGTGATAAAAATTGTTCAATGTAGCCTGTAGAAAAATATGAGTTCCTGTTTCGTGATATACATGCATGATGCATCAAAGAAATACCTCTCATGGACAATTCACTTTTTCATAAAATGTCATTCTGAAGTTAATAAACTGCATATTCTCAGAATGTAATAAATGTTCTCTATGTTATTTGTACAACTTATTCAAAATGAACAACTGCATTATTTCTTCATGTATCCACCCTTACAAAATTGTTAAATAAAGGACATATTCATGATTATTAAAGGTAATTGTAATTTGAACTTGACAATAACCTAGAGATTACAACAACAAATAAATCAAATGTTAACATCTCAAAGGATTTGCCACTTCTTAAATCTACAGAGCTTTAAAGGGGTTCCTGGTCAAATCATTTTCATACTTAAAGAGAAGGTCGAGTTCTGGGAAGAGTTGAAAAATAATTTGTGAGCGTTATCATTGTTATTACGAAAGTGTGGAAGAACATCAGATAAAACATGTTCCCTGAAAGCATGGCTCTTCAAAACAAATGCCTTCATATTCTAAATATGTCATGTAACATCGTGAAAATCGGGACAGATTTTTACGCCACGTGCAATCACACGACCAGAACTCAACCTCATCTTTAATCAAATAGTCAAGCAGATAAACTACACGTGAGACATTTATTAAGACGGATTTAAAATACAAGTCAAATGAAAAGTTAGTTATTTTATTAGTGTAACAAATCTCATACAAAATTTAAAACAGGTTGTAGGTCATCATTTACCTTACCTTTAAAATGTCAAGGTAACTGATCATTGATTTATTACTGTACTATCTTCAAATATGCAGGTACAGTACCACTCCAAACTTGTCCACCTTATTGCAGGGTGTAACACTTTACATTCTTCCAACTTTATTATTCAAAAAGGGTCAAATCAATATTACAGTCAACTCTGCATAAGTCTAATCTGTTGGGACGTGTTCAACTTTGTGTTCAACTTATGCAAATTTGTTATTAGAAAGTGTAAATAACATGTTTAGCATAATTTGTTCCAACTTCCAAGGCTTGATTCGTCATGGGGAAAATTTGAGTTGTACAGAGATTAATGTATTTTACAAAGGGATATAAACTGCTTTTGGGGCAAGTAGTAAAATCTTCCTGAATTGATTACACTCTAATGATAAGTAATCACAACTAGAAATGCAATCGTGTCACAACGATGTGCGTGCAATGACGCCGTGTTTCTACGTGTCGAACGAAAGAGCTTCTCTCGGACTATCCAGAGCAATTTGTACGAAGTCTTTAGCTTCTGTAATATTGGAGACAGGTAGGGCGAAAGAAAGGCCTCAATAGTGACCTTGATGGGATGGTAGTGACTATGCCTACGATGTTTGAAAGAAATTGGGATAGGGGAAAGAACCTAGAAAGGGCTCGCAAGCACTGCGTGCAAAAACAAATGGGATTAGTTGCATGTTCGTCATTTCAATCAAGATCGTTCTAGGGGTCAAAAGCGTGAACCCGATTTGCCCCAAAGACAATGCGTGTAATGCATGGGCGGAAAACGTACAGGATCTGTATTATGACCGGAGTTAAAAAAAAAATTCTCTCTCTCTTTATGTCTCTTTATGGGCCGTATTTTGTATCATTAGAAAGAGATTTTCATGTTTGTTATTGTAAACCACTCTCTTTTTTTCTATGATAATCCTATCGAAACACGTGATGTAAAATAGATTTATAGAACAAAATGGCGTCTTGAATAGCCCCCTTGACCAATTTCAAAAATCCGGCCATGAGGTGCCCTGCGTATTGGAACTTGGCATGCAACTGCAAATTTTCGAGGAAAAAGAAAGACATTTAAGGGGCGAAAAGCAGTCTGAAAAAAATGACGTCATAGCCGATACGTGTTAGATTTGGGCGGAAACTCGGCGGAATTCGTGTAGTGACCTTTGTTCAAATGCGATTTACTCACAATTTTCTGTGTGAACATATACCATAATTGGTATCATTCGAAAGGCCACTTCATTGCGGTCAGTTTGACACCATTGTCATCTGCGCGCAATGTATTGCACGCATTAAAGGCGTTATCACGTAATGCATGGAGAATACATCATTTTTGGCGATAACTTTGCGCTGACATAATCGAATTTTACCAAACTTTGCGGACAGTTGTCACGTATATGAATACATGTGTCTGCCAAGTTTCATTGACGTAGGTCTAAGGATCGTAATTTTAGAGCAAGTTGAAGTTATTTCACAATTTTCTTGAAAATGGCGAATTTGGAGGGCAATTTTCTCAAATTTGGTCAGCGATAAGGTATATAATTTTGTATATGGCTGGAAAGGGCAGATCTTCAAGTACCTAAATCCAAAAAAGGGTACGGGTCTGCCAAGCCATAATGGAGATACGGCCACAAAAAGAAAGCCAATTCCCAGAACTTTAGAGGGCGCTATTTATGTTTTGCATAGCCATTGGAGCGTGAAATTTAGCATGGCTATGTGCAATTATGAGATAAAGATACTGTGTGATTTAAATACAAAACGGAATTTATATGAGAAAGTTATGGCAGTTTTAGATTATTTAGGGGTCCATTTTTCAAGAATTTGAGAATTTTTTGACGGAGACGGTTTATGATGTGAATTTTGAGTATGAAGATTGCATTTTCAAGGTCAAGTGATATGTCGCAGATAAAAGAACATCTCTTAGACTATCTAGAGGAATTTGTTAGAAGTTTGTAGGATCTAGGATAGTGGAGATAGGAAGGAAAAAAGAAAGGCCTTAAAATGGACCAGAAACGGACAAAATGGCGCCTGGACGGTTATGCATGAGTAATTTCGAGAATCGAAGAATGTAGTGACCTTGATGAGATGTTAGAGACTATGCCTATGAAATTTGAAAGGAAACGGACATGAGGAAAGGGCATAGTGAGTGATAACAAGCACTACGTGCAAAACGAATGGGATTTTCGGACGATAAGAAGAACCAAGAATATTAATAACGTGAACGAAAACAAGGCAATGACGAAGGCTCGTCATTGCAATTAAAATCAACTCGTCCAAAGTGGCAGCATAATAAAGTTTCACCATGCAGCATTTAGGTGTGATGCCCTTCTCACAGTGGCATTTTAGCCATGCTGTTACCCATCACATCAGTTGTCAAGTCCTTTTCAGAAAAAAAAAGTCTGTGTACTACACATAGTTTTAAATAATTTAGTTTACATCTATCTGGAAATAGCATGATTAAGAAGGGATCTGGAATATCATTTTCTCAAGTTCATTCAAATACACAATGGATTCAAGTTCAAACTAAACTTGTGTCACAGCCATATAATATTTCAACATGGGCATGGCACATTTTTCTTCCTCATTATATTAAACACTTCTCTGTCACTTAAAATGAAACACAATATTTAAAGGGGTCAGGTAGATGACAATGCTCTTTAAACCAAGTTTTTTTAAATAAAATTGAATGAAAGGAGCTGGAAGGGGAACGGAGCTTATTTGTTGAATTCTTCATTACGGAGCACAACTCAGGTTTGGTTCTTGTCCAGCAATCTGTATTTACTCATATGTTGCACTGTATGCATCCAAAAGTTAGGAACATGGAATCACCTTTGAAATACAAGTCGCTTTATGGATAGTAGAATTTTCTGAACAAGATTCTTGATGTGTTGAACCAGAGGCAGAGTAATATCAGAATTAGGGGAGAATTGCTATGGTTGGCATGTTCTTGTATCCTCGTCATGAAGCTTAATCCACTCCTGACTCTCCAAAGACATAAAAATATGCCTTAATTTGGTTGCTCTTTTGTAAAACTGTTTGGACCCGTTCTTAAGACGCAAGTTCACAAGAGGCGAGAAGCACAATCTCTGCTGCTATCGTCACATTTAACAAAGCTGAATTGTAGGTCACCTTTTATCATCCAGTTCGTAGAGTTCAATGAGTTCAGTGACGATCTTCTGAATGATTTCTTCACTGATGTCCTCTGAAAATGCCTGCAAACAAAGGTTTAAATGGATGTCAAAAATCACAGTACATGTAAATTGGAAATGCACTATAAAGAGCTCTGGCATAATGAGATACTTGATAGAACAATGTCATTTTCATGGTTCAAACTGCCTCAATAAAACACGTTTCCACTGTAATGGATTCAGTGTAATGCGTCGCCTTAATACTCCTCGGCCAACTTAAACCACAGAGTCTGTAATATTTAAAGAGATTAAAAATCTGGACTATTTTCCCCTACATGATCTCAACACAGACAGGCCTGATGTCTTTCCTCCCCCCCCCCCCTTTTTTTTTTGGGGGGGGGGGGGTGGGGGGAAGAAACCCCCTGCTAATATCACTTTCTCCTCTCATATAGGAGAAAGTACACATACTTCATGTGTCCTTTATGTACACAGAACCATAGTTCTGAATAGCAATTTAAAAAAATGCCCTTTACGACCTTGATATACAAGCAAATATCCTTTGTGTACATCCACAAAATTTAAATAACTGCACACACTAAATCATCGTCATCATTTATGAAAGTCCACATTTTCACTCTCTTTTGAGGGGTTACTGACTTTCTCGCCGTGATGAAACTTACTCCTGCCACTTTTTCTTGTACAATTTATAAATGACATACCTTCCACCATGGATTGGCAGCCTCATCATTGAGCGGCACCTCCAGACCATAACATTGTAAAGAAAAGTAGATGACAGCTACGGCCATGTGTTGAGGTTTGGTACGCAGGCCAATGTCACTATGGTAGCTATCCCTCAACATGGCCCAGGCTGTCCGACAGACTGGTGTCTGATCCCAAACATCTCTGTCCATCCAGTGTGACAATGACTTCAGGTAATGTACAAGGTACTTGTGGGGTAGGTCACCAATCTGAACAGGAAAAAAATTCTGGTTACAAACTAGATAATTTTTAAAGACAGTATGTACACAAATAATCGGCTTTCATTATTATCAGGGAAAACACTGTCCCTTTTTACACATGGTACCTGTACAAATTGATGAAGCTCCTATTTCAATGTTTGAAAATAAAAATGAAACCACATTACCATGTTTATGCTTATGGAGGGGAAACATAGGGCTCAATGTGTTATGTCATACTATTGAACTCGAAGTGTCCTACTATGAAAAATTAAGAAAACAAGGAATTCATCACAACAGAACTGAGTCAAGTTTCATGTTATTGTAAAAATTATGATGTCATTATTTTTGCTTTAAGGACAACATACCTTTGGGTTATACTTGAGCATACGGACCAAGAGCAGTTCACAGTTGACAAGACTGTCCCTGAGTTCCCAGTATTGTTTGCCAACTTCCAATGGAGTTTCTTCTTTATGTAGAATCCTGAAAATTTATTTTGAAAAAAAAGAAAGAGAAGAATGAAAAGTTGGAACAACAGAATGCTACTCCCTATATCTTGAATTGACCAATGAATAACTCTTTAAATCTGACACTGTGACCAAAGTTGATGTTATATGCACGCAACTTCTTCGTGACTAATAATGAATGCACAGTTTCATGTAGCTTGAAGTTAATGACCCAAACTTAGTTATATTGATAAAAAAGATCTCAAATTGCAGTATACTTCTAAAAGTCAAAATAACAATGAACAAATAATCATATGAAAAAACGGCATTTATAATGCCTTCATTGATCCAGTAAACAATTTGGAAAGACGAAACAAATAAAACAATAATACCAATAATAATAATCAGATAGTAATAATAAAATTCAAAATAAAAACAATTTGATTTGTTTTCTAAATTTAGTTCTTAAACACATGATGCTGTATAAAACACTAAAGGCCAAGTTCCTGTGAATTTTTTCTTTCTAAAAACAATATAATAATTTACATCTACAGGTAACTTTAAAGATCTGGTGGTTTTGCCAACATATAACTACAGCAAAGATTTGTTGGACCTCTTATATCGAAGCCCATAGTAAATAAACCACACAGCTTGGCTCTGCTTTTGAATTAGATATAAACATGGTCCATCATTTCTGTCATACCTGTAGCAGACATTGATGATGTCTCTAAGTTTAACATGCTGCTCTTCAACTTTGGTGGCGAGGTAGATGGCTGTAGCTCCTATCAAGTATGGATCATAGTTGCTCAGCTCACACTCGGCAAAGAAGCGATGATAGATACAGCATGCAGATGCCAGCGTCACAGATTCCAAGTGTAACTTGATTCCGGCTTCCATCACATAATGGATGACCTACAAGGAGGTATGATGTGAAAGAGCATGTCAGTACAGGGATGTGCTTGGCCGCAGGCATATTTGTTTTAATATACATTGGTTTCATATGAAAGAACTTCCTATTTAAAACATGCTAAATGCAAGTTGGCCCCACAACAATCTACAGTTTGTATACATGTTGATGTAAGTAGATAAAATCTATGACCAGAGTATTTCATCACTAACCATAACCTATAACATTAATCACAGTGGTGGTAAAGCTGACATGGTCAAACATTTGCCTGACTGTCTAACTTTGGAATACATATACACATGTATGGAGGAAGAAAGAAATGTCTCTAGAATGAATGCATTATGGAGAAATCTCTTTAGGATATATACTTAGGTACATGTATTTCTCAGTTGTGAATATCTCATTGATGAGTCGATTTCAAATTCATTATAAGAGGTATGGTTCTTTTAATGTTGTTAAATTCAAATAATTGTTTATAAATTTGCCAAGTAGTGTATAAAAAGGAAAGAACTTGTTTATCCAGCTAGATATGCAAACCTAACATATCTCGTCCTCTAAACCTTCAAAGTTTATTGAAAAATAAAACCCCCAAACTTTCATGATTTGGTTTATGAACATCACTTTAAAGGAAGCACAAACCTTAAAATGGGTTTTCTTGTCTAAATCTTCTCTGGCGATATTGAAAACTTCACCGCCATCAGCATCCATATCTATGTCAATAACTGTAGACTTTTCAAATTTGATGTGATTCATTGCTGCTTGCAGAGTTCATAAGTTCTAACAGCGCTTGTATGCAACCTTGTCTCAGTTTGCTGTAAAAGAATAAGAAGATACAAGGAAAAATAGATTATGATCATTCTGTTTTCAGAATTAATAGTTATGGATACTGAGGTTGAACATCAGTGACACGGACTGGCTCTGAAAGGGGAAGTCCATCCTAAGTTGGTTTTAATCGAAGCAGAAAAAGAGAAAAACGGGTAAATGAAAGTTTGTTTGAGCAAATTTCAATTAAAAATAAGACAGCTATGAATTTTGAAGTTGCGATCAATCAAACAAAACTTATCAACACCTCGACGTACCTTGCGAGCTCCTCACCAATTTGCTCTGTACAGAAAAATGTCATAGACATTAATTTTCTTTGTTATTGATGACGGAATAGATTTTTTCATACTTATTTGCAATATGATACTAAAGGCCAAGTCCACTCTAAAAATAACTTACTTTCAATAGAAGCAGAAAAATCAGACAAACCAATAAAAAAAGGTTTGAGCAAAATCGGATAACTAATAAGAAAGTTACACATTTTTGCATGTCAGAGGGTTAGTGCATTAAAAGGAAGATAATAAGTAACATTTCAGAGATACCAAAATTACGTAATTTTTTAATCAACCTTCAACAATATTACCACATCACTTTAAACCAGATTACCTATGACTACAATTTTTGAAGTATTTTGCATCTCGTATCCCCTGGCCCTGCTCCTAATTTCAATCTTTTTACTTTCTAAATTATTTTAATGAATAATTGCATTTTTTCTAAATTGGCAAAAAATATCTAGACCTAGATCTATATAAATCAGGTGGAACTGCAACTGAGCTGAGGCTGTTTATTTCTTCAATCAATGTCTTAATCTTGACTCACGGTTCTTGATTTTATGAGATGTTTGCTAGTGTTACAGACTCTTTCAATCTTTGTTCATCAGTTTAGGAAGATCAGAGACATCTCCGTAGCTTGGCCCATGGCCATACCATATACCAGCCGGACCAGTGCAGTGTAAGTGCTTGCGCTGGCGCACGTATACGGGGTCCGGCTCCTCAGCCTCGTCCTACCTTATGGGCTAGGGCCAGGATGCACCGGGAGGCCGAGGCACAACCCGCGAGCGAGGCTCGGTAGGCTGCCTAGCGCTGGCCTGGCCTGAACTGAAGCCCCAGCCCTGAAATTAATATAAAAATAAATTACCAAGTTAGACTAGACGTCTACGCTTAGAAAACTTACAGTCAAACTAATCGGAGTATAGATTCGAATCTAAGTATAATGTCATGAAACCTGGACATATCTTCAGAACAGAACTTCCTTTCCATCGAAATCAAAGTCTAGAGCGTCGTGTAACTCAAGCTTGGCTCACTTTTCCTAAAAAATCCATGGGGGCTGCCATTTTATCAGTTCACTTTACGCTGTGCGCATGCGTCGAAGACGGAATTTGAAAAAAGAGTTCTCGCAGCAAGACGCAGAATTCAGAATCATCAAATTTGGGAACTGATTTTGTTTTTAACTTTTTATTGGCTCATTGTTTGCTGTTTCAGGTTATCGCCATGGCTAGTGTTTTAGTAAGTTTTTTTGTACATGTTTCAAAATTAATACAAGATTTGTATCTTTTTACGGCAATTTTTACTATGTTTGTCTTGGGAACAAATTGGTTTTAATGATACCCACACGTTGAAATTCATGTTGGTTAAAATTTACTCTGCTGTAGTGTTGTCATTCAGCAGGGACCAGGGGCCCGTTCCTACAAACCGTCATAAGTCTAACTTCTTGACTAAATCAGCGTTAGTGAACAACTTGTCCGCTACGTGTTTCACCAAGCCCTCTTTGCCAAGATCAACGACAACATCCTGACTAAGGAGTTATGACACCTCTGACACCGTCGTATCTCTGTCATAACTATTTAGTCGATGGGCAGCGCCATCACATGTCATTTATTGGGTAGACTATGGCTGGCAAAAAAGAACAATAAATCCTCCAACTATGATTTTTCTACACATTCACTTAAACAGTGAATTATTGTTTTTTGTATTTGATAATCTCATGAAAATATGCCATGTTTGTATTTAAGGATTTTTCCACTTAAATAAACTGATTATACGTCTTTATTTCCACATTGTAAACTCGTCGAAGGGATATGTATTTTGCCACGGCAGGCAAGCCATAGTTTGAAGTGTATTCTTTAGTTTTCAGACCCATATTAATTTCGAGATGAATTCTATTTTCAATTATGTAAAGTGAATGGTTTAAACATATGTTTTAACCTTTGAAATATTGAAGTTTTGTAATTTTTATATTGTGCTGACGCCAAAAACATTGAACACAAATTTCATTAAATCGTATTTTTTCAAAGAATAATATAAGGGTGTATTTTTATAAACTATCAAATGAAAATATTCGGGGGGTGCCCATCTCAACAACAAAACTGATTCACTGGTCATGTAATGAAAAACTCACAATTATATTTTACAAGTACTTCAATTGTTTAATCTACACAAATTTGGAAGTATATTGGATCTCTTATTTCTTGGTATCATTTTCAATCTTTTTTATTACTAATTCATTTAAATAATTGCATTTTCCCTAATATTAATTTTGTAATAATCTGGTGGTATTGCGACTAAGGCTAATTCTCGGATCCTCTTCTCGCCGATAATATCGATCTCACGAGATACTAGCTAGTAAGCTCTTCGTGAAACGGTTTAGGAAGATCAGAGACATCTCCGTAGTTGGCGGATAAAGTTATGACTGTCTTGTCGTTGGTTTCTAGGAACGAGCCCCTGGGTCATCATCAGGATCATGGATTTGTTCATGCTCTTTGCAATTTAGGATCTATCTGTAAGCTGTTAATTCTCTTTGTGTGTGTGTGAGTGTGTGAATGCATTTCAATTATTTATGTAGACAGCTATGGATGGGGACGTAGACTCTAAATGCGAAAAACAGATTCCGTATTGATTTTCTTGATGCATTTTAGTCTACAATAACTTTTTACAGAGACTAGAATTTCACGTTATGACTATGAGCGATAAATCCTCTGAAAGACGGACAACCCATAAAAGTAGACGGTAAACTGGGCATATTTTATTACGCAGAATCCTTTTTTCGCATCGCCAGCGCGGGGTTAAGGGGCCGAAACCCGCAGAGCGCTGATGAAAATAAAAGTCAGCGATGAATTTTTTTATATTTCCAGTTTTTAACCAAAGTCAAAATCCTGTCAATATTTTTCGACATTTCATTGGGTTTTTTCCCAGCGATAGTCTTGGTCATTCCAGTTATCAACTTGGCCTCAGCCATTGTACAAAATTAGCCACAAAATGAGTTTTTGTTTCAGTGTGTTTAGCGCACGCACAGACTACAGAGTTCACTAAATTTAGCAGGCTCCCTGCTTCCATGCCATTTTACACTACCGGTAATCGATATTATCACAAAGTAAGTATCAATTTGGTAACATGAAAAAAGCTGTATTTTTGTCCACCGCTTGATTGTATTTAAGTTTCCTGCAGAACACTTGGGGATTAGTATTTAGACAAGATTTTACTGTTAGATTATATTTTTTTGACCAAAGCTCAGTGAAAATATCACAAGTTGACAATAACCACACAATATTAAATAACAAAATCTGCTTACATTTCAATAAAAGTTAATGAAATTGTGATAAAAAATTAATATATTATTATATTTTCATCTTTTTAGGAGGATCCCACCTTGGAGAGAAACTACAAAGGTCATAGAGACACCATAACATGTGTGGACTTCAACCCAAACATGAAGCAGCTCGGTATGAAATCATTTCATTGTCATGCAAGAATTTGTTCTGTATTTCAAGTTTTCAAGTTACGTTGTAAATTTGCCATTATGCAAATCTGTCACAATCAAATGTCATGATTGATATTTTTCTACTTCTTCCATTTCATTCAAAGTGGTAATTATTTGTTAGTTTGATAATTTTCAAAGGTTGCTATAAAATTATTTCTTTTATAAGAAACATATAAATACATGTCATGCTATGTGAAAAACCTGAAGTGGCGTAATATACATGCTCCTGCCTGGGCTGCCATTAAGTTATATTACTTGTAGAATATCACCTTGACCAATAGTTCTGTTTTTTTTTCCTTCTCAATGTTCTAGCCTCTGGGGCCATGGACTCGTGTCTTATGGTGTGGAACTTCAAGGCTCAGATGAGGGCTTTCAGGTTTGTGGGTCACAAGGATGCTGTCCTCTCTGTCAATTTCTCTCCGTCAGGGCATCTTGTAGCATCCTCGTCAAGAGATAAAACAGTCAGACTTTGGATTCCTAGTGTGTACGTATCCTTTCTTTTGTTTATTTGTTATCGTTGTTTTGTTTGTTATAATATGTTTCATCTTGCAATGTTGTACAATGCAACTTCTAAAAATGAAAAATTTCAATTGGTTGATGAAATCCTAACAAGACTTACTCTACGCAAACAGGCCTGGTCAATGTTTGACCCCAAACCTCTTACAGTAAAATGTTACATATTTCTGGATTTTAACAATAGACCCACGCATAAAATACAGAAACCTTAAAGCCTCCTTGTAAAAAATTGTGTAGCCTCATCTGTCATTGACATTTATGTATTTTCCCTCTTGAATACCGGTAGGCCATTTTTCTAATTTAATGAATTTGAATGCATAAATCTTTGTTAAGTGCAATGTTACAAATTATTTCATTCACCAATTTTATTTCTATAGTCAGAATGCAAATTGCATATATTAATTGTTGTTAGGTAGGCTTAGAATCGTGGCTTGTCCTACCTTACAACACGTCTATCGAGAGAGTTGGCTCTTCTTCAACACCCACACTCTGACCCCATAGATTCATATATTATTGTGCTATTCTATTTTTACTTCAGGAAAGGAGAATCTACTGTTTATAAAGCTCACACAGCCACGGTCCGCAGTGTCCAGTTCTCTAATGATGGTCAGCATCTACTCACTGCTTCAGATGATAAGACAGTCAAGGTAAGGGTGTTTTATAGCAATGACAAAACAAATTCTTTAGGCTTGTAGCTCAGTGGTTTCGAGTTTTATGGCTCAGAGGATGTAGTCTATTATGTTATAAAATGGTTCTTCTTTTTAGTCATTCAGGACAACATAATTTACTTACATTGACTTCTATATGAGTACTTTTCATCCTAACATGATTGGTTAAAGTTTAAGTTACTTTGGTGTAATGGAAAGAAGTCCTATTATTTCATTTATGAAAGTTTGTGCGTTTAGAAGGTTTGCTCCACTCCAAAAGGTTATTAAACAGGTTGTTCTGTTAATGTTCTGTGGATTTCACAGGAAGGAAACTAGTGAAAATGTTATGAGAAGAGTTATTAGAAAAAATATATGCACATTGATTGTACATGTACATGCCTTCTTTTTAGTAGTAAGCAAATAATTACCGTTGGTGAAGGTGATGGGACAAACTATCACTTCCGAGGGAATCTGGATGTAGCTATCTTTCCCAAGCTGCGGAAAGATAGTGTATACATTCAGATCGCAGAGGAAGTGATAGTTTGCCATCGCCTGAAACCAAAAGGTGATTATTTGCTTTATATTCCACATCAAAAGCATTTCACTGGTAGGGTCTACGAGAAAGACAATCTAATTGTTTAGGCCTAGTTCTAACAGTTAATAGACCATGGTGGCCGTGGTCGCCTGCTGCGTTGAAGGTAGTACACGGTACAATGCACTTTCACCGAAGATAGTACACAGTACAACACACTTTCACCGAAGATAGTTCACAGTGTGACACACTTTCACCAAAGATAGTACACAGTGTAACAAACTTTTCTTCTCTCATTAATGATGGGCGAAACTATGTTTCATCACGTGATTAACTGTTGACCAATCGTAGAGCAAGATTCTTTGTATGTGGAATGTAATGCTTTTTTTCTATCTTTGATTTATGTAGTATCAGTTATAATATTGTATACAATCTGTAAATCTGTTAGTGTGCAGTAACTTCAGATGTTTTGATAATGCCCCTATATGATTTGCTTTGCAGGTGTGGACAGTTCACAGACAGAGGTTCCAGTTCTCCCTGACTCAGCATAGTAACTGGGTGCGATGTGCCAAGTGGTCACCAGATGGTCGACTGATAGTATCTTGCAGTGATGATAAGACAGTCAAGGTGTGGGATAGGACCAGCAAGGAATGCATACATACATTCTTTGAACATGGAGGGTCAGTTGATTTACTCTTTTGATTACTTTTATTATCATGTAAACATTAAGCAGTGTAAACAACATACTTAGATCAGTAATTTCCAAACTCATATAACATAAAATGAGAACATGCACAAATTTTGAAAGGATGATAATTTTATGGCAAGAAGATGTCATAGATGGGCATTGTCATTGTCAAATATCATTGTGATTCATTTATTTCCTACATTAAACTTTTGTGTATC